ATATTTTTTAAAATTAAAAAATAATTTTAATACAAATAAAAAAGTTGAGAATTAAATTAGTATTCTAACCTTTCTCAAATTCAGATATCAAGGGCGCCCGCAGTTTTCTGGTGTTTTTTTTTTTTCTTTTTAAGCATCTGCCATTGCTCTGAAGTCTGGAGTCTGAAGCCTGGCAACCAACTGAAGAGTTTAGTGAATATTTAGTGAGAATCTCATGGTGGCATGGCTAGTTAGCCCTCATTTTGTAATTAAGATTTAAAAGAAAAAAAAAAAAGGAAAAATTAAATCTGAAGTCTCTAGTCTAAATGGGATGGATTGTGTACTATAGATCAATCTTTGTCAAGCTCGATCCACTACCAAGCAAATCTTGTAAATTTGGCATGGTGCTAAAGGGATAACAATTGAAATTTTGATTGTTGTGTAAAGTTTGAATTGACCTTGTAAATTAAGCAGAGCACTAAAGAGATGACAACTGAAATTTTGATCTTTGTATTAAGTTTGAATTGATAATTTTCTATGGTGAACAAAAACAATTAAAATTTTTTAAATGTATTTTTTTGTTGAACATTTTTTACTTAGATTAGAAATAAATTTTCAATTGTCATTTATTTGTTATATAAATTTATCAAGTTAATTAATATAAAATTAATGAAGTAGAATAACTATTAAAAATCAAAGAGGGTAATACATAGTTGTAAAGTTATAAATTTATGCCTAAAATCATACTTAGTCATGCTCAATTTAAAATATACTATTCTTTGAAAATTTTAGTAATTAGTAAATAGTTATCTAATTGTATTCGAGGGAAAAATAAAATAAAATACATTTAAAAAAATATGTTTGTACTACTATGTTGAAAAATATATCAAAAATTAGTATAATAAATGACAAAATAAAATAAATAGATTTGACTCCATTTAAAATGGTCATCGTTTTTAATTTTTGAAATTCAAATAATCAAAATTAATAATTAAAAACTAAAATTAAAAATTAAAATTAACAACTTATTAGACATAAATTTTTAAAAACAATACTCAATACTCAAAATTTAATTAATCTATAGAACTTGTTAATCTTATTTTAGGATTTCTATTAAAAAATTCTTACATCAATTATTGCAAAATTTTCTGCTAATAATTTCAATACATATGCAATACATGGAAGATACTTAGTACAACACTTTTAAGAACAATTAACATTGTCTCATGATAGCCCAAAAAAACACTAACATTGTCTCATAGTTCCTACGGAAGGTGGTGAGAAAGCCACCTATCAGCCATCGCAAAACATTCTTTAGGCATGTACTCTGCTGTGTGGCCACCTGCCAGTGAAAATCAAAAGAAAAAAAAAAAAATCAATTCACTTTGTACATCTGGATACTATATATAGAAGGTAATTTTGTTAGATACCATATATAGAAGGTTTTTTTGTGGATTACTTGACCTAGCTTGAGCATTGTTCATCTACAAATTAATATACGTATGATAGACTTTTGATCTCTAAAATTATAGTCTACTTAAATTAATCAATAAAAATCAAAACGTTTTCCCCTGAAAAAATTGTTTATCTCGTAGAAGTTTAAACTTTAAACAACATTACTCTTAATTCAAATAATTAGTGGTAAATTTTTGTTTCAAATTTTCATTTTCCCTGTCGTTACTCTTGCAACTCCCTTCCATCTTCCCCTCTGTGCGGCTGCTGTCTTGTGAGAAACAATTGACAACCTAATCTTATTCAATTGTTCCTGACAACACAACCCATGCTTTGTCCGTCCATCTCTATAAATAGGAAATAAATTGTAACCCAATGTTATATAATTTGAAAGATATTTAAGAATTAGGTCAAATCAAATTCTATTAATGAGAAATTAAATTCCATTAATGTTAAACTATAACACCTAATTTATATTAGATTTGAATTATTTTTTAATAGGTATTTTTTAGAAAAAGCCTATTAAATATTTGTTAGAATTCTTAAAACCCATTGAATATTTATGGAAGATTTTTTTAAAGTTTATTGGGTATTTATTAAAGATTTTTTTAGAGTACAATAAGTATTAACTTGAGAATTAAAAAATTATTATTAAAATAATTTTATATATAATTAAAATTAAGATTTATAAAAATATATATCTATAATGATAAATGTAAAATAATATATAATATTATTTAATATACAACACATACCATATCTAAAAAAAAATTAATACAACATGTTGGTATGATATCCACGACTTTGATTGAAAGCGCCTTTAATAAATGAAAAATAGGAAGAGATGTTGGCGTCGTGGGATACTTTCTTTTTAGCCTATTGGGCCTTTCACAATTTGGGTTTGATTTATGAGTCCAGACTCCAGAGTTATGGACTCTAACTCGACTCAGTAAATGGTTTGGATTTGAATGTTTCAAGCTCCATTCACCACACCAGACCCGTCTGCAGATGATCAATGATCAACGAAGGTGATTCTCAATTCCGTGGATCTGTTCCCCTGCTTTGATTCATCTTGTGGTTTTTGTAGGTCGAAAAGAACTCCACCCATGGTGGGTTATTAACATTAAAAAAAAATGTGAAACTAAATACTTTATTGATGATAAATAAAAAGAAAACTTACAATATTTAAATAAATAGTAAAAAATTCCCTGAGATATTTGTAATATAGAACGTAAATTTTTTCTAAAATTATGACTTTATTCAATAAGAAATTAGTATTTATTACTTGTACAATAGATGGGCTAACAGAGGTATCCTACCTCCTCGTGTCTTATATCGAGTAGGACTTTATTTTGACATAACACAATCCAGACATTGATCATAAAAAGTATACATGGACGTAGAGATTTGAAAAAACAGCTTAAGAGCAAACTAAGGATCATGCAGCAATAATCTTCTTATTTGGCTCGAAGACATACTTGACTAGCGATTCCTTCGCAGAAAGGAGATGAGGAAATTCACTTTTCAACTTGGTGGCATCCATTTCATTATTGCACCTTGGGGCAGCGAGAATCTTGTTCTGCTCCTCTATAGTAAAGTTCTCCCATGCAAAGTTTGGGTTAACGTAGTCCCGGTACATTTCCAATATCTCATTGTGACTGATCACTCCAGGGTTTGTAAGGTTCCAGATTCCAGTTAGGGATTGGGTCGAGGGTAGGGACCGATGGCCAAGCTGCGTTGAACTGGAGTTTGTAGGTGTCACGGAAGACGGACCCATAAATTTTGGAAAGGTGTGTGGTAAAGCCTTTGACCAAAGGCAGGAAAATATGTGGAAAAAACCACATGTTTTAGACCTACTTTTACATTTTTTTTTAGTATTTTTTAAGATGCTTTTGTCTTAAATATATATTAAAAAATAAAAATTAATATTAAATTTTATTTAATATTTTAAATTTGTAACATAATATATATAATTATATAATTAATTATTTTTATTTTAAATTCACTAATATTAACTCATTTAATAAGATATTATAATTATAAACTTATAATTTTCGTTATTTAATATCTAATTTTACAATCTTAACTACACAAAACATTTATCTTTTACCTTTTTCACAAATTAACTCTTAAACTAAGCATAAATCCTTAAACTACATCTTTTAGTTAGAAAGCCCCTTCAATGCTCATTAGGTTTTTTATTTTAAAGGATAAAAACAACTTTTCATAATTTTTTAAAAAACTTATCCTAATTTATTTGTTAATTTCAATTTTCAATATAATATTAATTTTTTTAATTTTACTCTTATTAATAATTACTTCATCCTTAAAAAAAATCACAATTTTCCAATTACAATTATGAATAAGGATAAATATGAAATTTTAATTAATAATAGATGTATTTTTATGAATTTTTATAATTTTTTTATAATTATGCCAAACAAAAGTGACAAATAAAATAAACTTAAAGGTAGAATTAGAAAGGCAAATGAATATCATTCAAGGAATCATTGGAGTTATAAAGGCAATTCTAATGGAGTCTCTTGTGTAACAGAGACTCCAGAGAGGCTCTTTATTTTTAAAGTCTCAAGCAAAGATGTCCCTCTTTTTTCCTTTTCATTTCGGATAAGTATAAAATTGATAATTTTTCATGAATTTTTTTAACATGTGTTGCGTATTTAATATATTTTTTTATTGTTAATTTATATAAAAT